ATTAAAGGAATAAAAGGTAGAACATGTTTAGTTGATTGTATAGGTAATACATTGGTGACTTCAGATCTGTTAATTTGCAGTGGGTGGGCCCCCTCCTTCCAAATTTCTATTTTAGGTCTGAAATAAAAGTCTAGTATTTTCATCTTCTGAGAGTAATAACCACGAGCTTCCACATACGTCTTTTGGATTGATGTAACTAGTAACTACATATATAAGATGAATATGGTCGTCAAGTCTTATGTGTGGTCCCAGGTTACATACCACATTTAAGATTTGTGCTTATCGTTGTTTACACTCTGCTTGATGAAGTACAGGGTGAACCAAAAAATTCAACATGATTTGCAGAACAATGTGTGACACAACTAAGGTGACTTACAACACATAGAATCTTTACGTTCAGCCAGTGTTGAAGGGGATGGATGGTACACAAGTGATTTCAAATAGCCCACTACCAGAAGTCAGCCAGTGTGAAGTCGAGCGATCAGGGAGGCCATGCGATCTTGCAACTTTGACTAATCATTTTGTTTTCACCAAAGGTAAACATAGGGTAAAGCATATAAGGCAGCCAGCCATAGTTTGAGATGCTGAATTCCAATAAGACATTGAAGTGAGGAGAGAAAAGTTTTCACACTTAACAGAATTTTTAAAAAAATTACAGAGAGACTTCAAATAGCTTCACTTTCTTGCTTTGCCTTCCTCATTCCATCAAAAGTTTTGAATGGAAAATAAGAAGAACAATTAATTATGATTTTAATGCCATAAATAAAGAAGAATTCCTCACTGAGAGAGAAATACTTGATAGTTTTATTTATTACTGTTAGTGCTTGGGAAGACAAAACCAAGAGATAGAAGGGCAGGGATCTGCTGTTTTTAGTTAGTAACTTAATTTTTAGATTGCAGCTGTGTAAAATTGGTTATTGTTTTTAATAATTTCTTTTGTTGACATTTTATCTCATGTTTGAATTTAAAAATAGCCTTTTAGTGGTACCATCTAAGAAATAAAAACTAACTAAAAACAATAGATGACATACTACATGATTACTTGACTGTTTGTACACCAATCATCAGCTGAGATGCGTGATTTTTTTTTTTTTTTTTTGTGTGTATGTAAGTATGGGCAAGAGTCTGTCAAAAATCTTTCTTTATGCCTGCAGTTCTTGTTTATCTCCAAAGTTTTTGGAACTGTATAATCAAATGTTGATAATGACCTTCTCAGAAGTGTGGGATGAAATGGGTTATTGCATAAATGTCTATCATATCAATAAAGATGAACATATCAAGCATTAAAATGTGTAAAAAAAGTTTTGAGTTTATGTCTATAATTGTAAATAACCCTTTTTATTATGTAATGCAGTATATAAATATAATATGAATGTATGTATCCTAAGACATGTTGTGCGTTATTGTTGCAATTATCATGATGATTAATCATTTGAGTTCTAGGGGGTATTGAAAAACACAGTCGAAAAATCCCAAACAGCGCAAGCACGTTTTCTCTAAATGAGTACGAAAAGACCTAAGCAGCGCAACAGCGCTTGTTTTATTTATGTTGAGAAATACAAAGCGGCCCAATAGCGCTTTGTTTATTTTACATCAATGGGCACTTGATTTAAGTGCTATCATCAACATCAAGTGCACCATCAGTTGTTCACAATGTTCGAAATGTACTAGGTTTTTCTCGACATAAAATCTCAACAGCGTTATCGCGCTGCTTGGGACTCGAGCAGTTAAATACCTGATCTGATATTTTTATTTTCTGAAATGAAAAAAGTTTCTTTGTTGCTTTTCTTCATTTTCTACTTATTCTTCTGTTTTAATTAAAATTGAATTGGGTTATTTCAATCTAAGGCTAGGAATGCCTTTGTGTTGGATTAAAAAAAGGAAAAACTGCCTTGTATTTATTACATATATTGAAAACCATAAAACCTCCCAAATAATCAATGTGTTCATTGAGATCTGAACCCAGGTAGTGAAACAGTGTTCGCTACTTTTGCCACTTTAGCTGTAGGTAAGCATCTTATGTAAAAATTTAATATTTACATAACAATAGATGACATACTACAAGCTTTTATGAAAACTTATTTAAAAAAATTGTGCCTTTTAGTATAGTATTTTAACAAATTATGGGGTACTTTTCCATTTTGTCGGCGCAAGCGATAAAGTCGCCAATAATGGTACAACCAATGCAATGGATTTCCGCGGTACCTTTACGCCTCATTTTGAACAAGCGCACTTTTCTTATCAGATTGATTTGTTTCTTTCAATACTGGCATATAATTACATAGAATTTATCAGACAGTTCAGTTTTATGTCTAAGGCCATTTTCGGTATTAAGTCAATTAGGATGCAATCACAGCGCTTACCCGAAGCTGAAAATATAGAAAAGGTAAAGTCAAGGGTTAAATTTATCAATTTAATGAGAATATTAGCGAAGTAAAATGCAGTTTTACGTAATTTCTATAAGCTATTGCGAATTGAAATATTTCTTGCATTTAAACTTGTGTTCCAAATTAAGATTTAACTTGAAATAATGTAGATAATTACTGATAGCATTAGATTTGTAGAGTAGTTTACGTGAGATAGATCGCTTGGGGTAAGTGATAACCGGCGAATCAGAATGTTGAACCATGAAACATATAATTCTTAAATTGATGTCTTTTACAATTTTTGTCTTTATTTTTGGCTTTTTAAATTTTAAGGATTAAAATGTTTTATGCCTTCAAAAAAAAAAAAAAATTAGAACTAACATTTTTAATATTTTATGTGTATATGTATGTTGTCGCCAATAAATTCTGCTTGGCGAGATTTGTGCCGGCGAAACGGAAAAGTACCAATTATGGTAATACATAAATGGTTTTAAATTGAATTAATATTTACGATATCAGAGATAGGGGTTAAATTTTAACTTTTTTAAAATGTACATATTTCATCTCGCTATTAAAATTTTAGATTAAAAAGTTAAAATTATGCTGGTTAGATCAAATGTAAACTGAACATTTTAAATTTTCAATGTTTTCTACTTAAAAAAAATTACAAAACAAATTTTTAAATTATGTAATCTTGAATTTATTTCTTTAGATTGCCCAATTATGGTAATTTTTATCTGTTGTAGTAAATCATATGTACCGCCACTTTTAGGAATATGTATATTGAAATGAGTTTTAGTTGTAGTATTTATTTTCAAACAAATATATATGTATAAAATACATTAGCAAAAAAGGTTCATGTCATTGTATCAATCTGTCGAATGAAAAATGTACCTAATTTTGCTTTCAATTTATTGCTCTGTTTGTATAGATTACTGAAATCTGAAAATTTCTTGAACTCTGTAATTTATTGTCTTGATCCCTGTATATGGCAGCACCATTTCACAACACTGAAACCTTCAGTACCATTATGAAATACTTCTTACCTCACAAGCACCTTTATGAAATTTGCTTTTCTCTTATAAAAACTATATTATAAGAGTATGGGCACTTTCTTTTACTGGGAACTAGTGAATATTTCTCTCTTGGTGAAACTATGGAACACAGCTTAAATTGCACTGGAGCCCGGCCTCGGTGCCTTTCTTAATCTTGGGGATAAGTGATATAGCCAGAACCCTAAATAAGAAGGCTCCAGCACTTATTTAATGTAACTGAACAATTTCAGCATTTTAATAATAAAAATCTATTCTAATTGATTCTGCATGCTTCTCTTTCCTTGGAAAACAAACCCTAATTGGAGGGTGACACTTTTAAGGAAAGGAAAGCTCCCATCCACATGTCAAAGTAGTACAGAAAGTGCGGTGAATTTATGACAGTGGGTAATTTTTTTGTTCCAATGCTAGGGTCACCTTGCAGAAATGAGTACCTGCAGATTTTTGGGAACAAGATAACCAATTATGGTAAGGCGGGGAATGAAAATTGTCACCCCCCCACACACACACTAACCCTCGGACTCGGCAACATTTTTTTCCCTTGTCATATTCTGCTTGATAGCTAGAATTATACTAAGAGGGGATCGTGGTCAGAAAGTATTGGACTTTCTCATTTTGTTTTTATACATACAGGTCAACTATTAAAATTTCTCCGTATTCTCTTACTGTTTATAACATTCCCTCCATTTTCACTAGTGATGCTGTAACCATTTTAACGTTTTCTATTGTTCTGGAAAAAATTCGTCTTTATTTCTATCATCCTTTGAAGTAGTACATTAGATTCAGTGCTTAAATTAAACCGGAGAATGGTCAAGCTATTTCTTATTTTTTGCATGAAATTGGAATTCCTGTCAAAAGCCCAAATACCAAAGTCAAGGTCCAGTACTTTAATTATGATACCATGACTTCTGAATTAGTCCAGTGCTTTATTTTAATATTTAATTATTTATCATTTATTTAATAACATTGTATTTTAACTTTGACTTCTAACAACAAAATTTTTTTTAATTTAATTGAAATTTGAAAATATAATGCTGATTTTTGTTGTCTGGCTTCTAAATTGATATTTGTTCGGAGTGTTACTGTATCTTAATTATCTCTTTACATTTTGTTAAATTTTTATATTAATTATTTCAATGATTAATTATTTAATTTTTAGTTATTAGTTATTTTACTAGGCATTTTATTTCTTTTTGTGCTTTCTTGACAATCTTTCATAGGGCTCAGGCACTTCTAATTTTAGAAATTAAGGCCTGATGCAAGACTGGCATTGGCTGACATTCAAACATTGATAATACATGGCCATTTGTGAACACATTTTTGCAGAATGAAGTCATCTTGAGAAATTAATGGCAGGGGGAAAAAAGATATAAGAACCTTTTATTCTTCCAGAATATTTTAGGGCAAATTCTAATGGAGCTAGGCAGATATCCCCTATGTGATTTATTTTAATGAAATAATTCAGTCCAATTCTTAAATTATTATATGCCTGAATTCATATTTATTTATTTATTTTTTTGTGTGTGTATTATGTCACATAACTTATTTTTTCACAACTAAAATCATTCTTTTTCTTTTTCAGTAAAAATTATTTTCTGATGTAATTACTTGGTGATAATATGTCTGACTCATCCTTGAAAATGCATACGTCCAAAGACCAGGTTCAACGCAAAAGACGCAGCAATTTATCAAAAGAAGCTAAAGCTATCTTATTCTCTTGGCTATATGAACATCGGCACAATGCATACCCTTCTGAAAAGGAAAAGGCTGCGTTAGCTGAAAAGACTAAATTAACCCAACTCCAGGTCTGCAATTGGTTTATAAATGCTCGACGCCGCCAGTTACCTAAAATGTTTCGTGAAGAAGAACAGAAGTCTTCACGGCATGCAGCTACAAAAAAGAATATGCGTTATTGTATGCGATTGGCAGCCTCTAAAAATACCATTCATCCCATTGATTTTAACAGTAGATCAGATTCTCCGGTTGGTGACACTGTCACTGCAATGAACACTAGCAGTGAGGACTCAAGTAATAGTTTCTCATCTTCAGCATTATCCCAGATTACTTCATATCAGGAATCTTATTTACCCGAGATGAATATGCTAAGGCAAAAACAGCCTTCTTCAGAAACGTTTCCCCAATATACAGCCCCACTTCATTCACCTGCAAACTGTAACGTGATGTCTAACCAAAATTTGGTATTTAACTCCTCAAAAGAAAATTTGTCATACATGAGGTCTGATAATTCTACTTCTAAGGAAAATGTATCTTCTTTTATGAACTCTGATGATATGGGTCCTAAGGAAACCATTAATTCAGACCGTTCAATCATTTGGATAGATGACAAAACACCCGTGAGCATCCGACATCCTTCATCCCCTTTTACTCCTTTCAACTGCCTGGTTCATATTGCTTGTGAAATTCATAATCAGTTGCAAACTTAAAAAGAGTTTTTGATATCTGATTTTTATTAAGTCATTTTTGACGATAACTTTTTTAACTTCTTGTGCCTTAAGACACAAGGAGCATCTATGATTTTAATTTTGTAAATTATTGCTAATGTATCATTTTATACTTTGAAATTAATTAAATATAATGTGATTATATGGTTTTGTTATCCTTTAATAATCTATTCATTTGTATCGGGAGGAAAGACTAAATCCATTGTTTTCTAAGCTTTTAAAAACTCCTGTATCAAAATTATGTAAACATTTAGAAAATTATGTAAACATTTAGAAAAAGACATGTTTTGAAAGTTTGAGCTTTATTATTTTTAAGAAAATACTGAAAAGTTTTGTGTCACTCTTGGCAAGTTGACAATGTCTACCACAGGAGGTACAGCAATATTGATTTCCTCTGAAGGATCATACACATACACTCCCCCCCCCCTTAACAAAGACCTCAAACCCTAGCTGGATTTCAGAGCAGCATTCATTTTTCATTAATTCAGGGTTCGTATGGTCCTTAAGAGTCCTTAGATTTTTTGGAATCGATTTTTGGTCCTTAAAAGTTCTTAATTATTTTAACCATATGAATTTTCTGTCTGTTTTTACGACTGCCATTTTGACTGTGAATTAATACCATTTTGGAGGAGTGTTTTTGGCGATTCAGTGACATATATGGTTATCTTTTGACATACATACATGGATTATAATTTGTTTCTAATTCTAATATAAATGATGGGATACTCGAGCTAAGCAAGAAGTGAAACATAAGCATTTTAAAATTCATTTTTTCTAATCAAGAGCTCTTAAACAATTTTTCACTTTTGGAGATGTGAATTCTTTTATTAAACTGTTCTAAATTTGGCAACTTATCAACATTTTAATGATTTTAAGATAAGTTTCTGTAGAAAATTTTTAATTCTGATCTGAGAATTTTGTGACGATTTTTTTAAAGCATCGTAACACTGATAAATTTCATTAAAATAAGGGTAATATATTGAAATTATATTTTAAAAATAACATTAAAATTAAACATTTTTATTTTTTGCTGTAATATTATAAAGTTTCATTTTGGCAACTTATTATAATAATTCAAAATATTATACAATTTCCATGTGCAGAAATGTATACAAACCCTGTTAATTATTAAACAATTCACAGCAAGTAAGAAAAAAAATTTGCAAAATATAATAGTTAAGCCATGATATCTTGTTATATAAAGAAAAAATCTGATGTGTACACCACATGACTTCCTTGTACGGAATATTAAATTATACGCATTTTTTCTTGCATTTTATTTAAACTTATTAGATTGAATTAAACCTACTTCGCCGACAGCGCATAAACCACAATAGAATAAATGCATTCTTTAAAATTCACTTTGTTTATCATAGCGACACTCTGGCGCTAGGTTCACTTAACTTATATTTCATTCATATTATAACTGAGAATGCGCAAAATGTATATCATTTAAAGAATTATCTAATCGTTGCCCCATGTTCTATTCAAATACTATAATAAAGCTAGAACTATGTATAAAAGAAATTAAGCAAATAAAACAAAAAAGAAACAGTTTTTCACAGACGATTGAGTATTTCTCATTTAATTAATTCAGTTCTTACTCCGCGAGAAGGCAAAAATACATAAAAACTCAAAATATCTATATTAAAATTACGAAGTAAGTATTAAACACGTATTTTTCCTCGAAAAAATCCAGAAAGAATTAAGCATGATTTAATTGGCAATAATAAATGAATGCGTTATCTTTGTTGTTGCGAAGCTAAGTTTCTCTAGATTGGCAAACAAATCCACTGTCTGCTGTTTTCAAATGTAAAATCAACGGCCGCCATTAAAACAAGCTTAGCTGTGCAATTGAAACAACTTTTAAAACTGCTTGATAATTCTAAAAATTATATGCACACAGATTTAAGTAAAGGCATAAAAATCCTTAACCGGAAGATAAAAACAACATAATTCAATCCTTTTTAAATCAAAAAATGTACAATTTACAAAACGTATAAGAGTAAAGAAACTGAGATCACTGAGCCGGGTAATAAGAGTGGATATATATATAAATATTTATATACGTTTTGGTGCGGCCGATTGCAACCAAAATACGAGGTTCACATCTACGTGTTATAGCAGTCCTATATAAAAAATTTCAACGTTGTGAGGATACTCGTTTTTGAGTTATGCGAGATACGTACGTACGCAAGTACGCACATACGTTCATACAGACGCCACGAAAAATTCTCTTCAGAATTAATTTTAAAGCAGTTTTATAATTTTTTTGAAGAGAAAAGAGTATTTTATTCTGTTCTTGCGTACAGATATCACGCAAAAACATCGTTAAATTGCATTCGATAGCGATCAAAATGGATATTTTCGTTGAAATATGCTGCCTGAAACGTTTTGCGATTACAATACTTCTTCGTACAAAGAAGTAAAAATGAAGTTGTCTTACATAATTCGAGACTGAGAGCCAACTAAGTATTGTGATGCCACAAAATAGATCCACTAATATGCTAGCATAATGAAAAAAGTTATTCTTTACGACAAAAAATCTGTAGTAAAACATCTAATTGAAATTTCTGTTTTTGAGCATATTGATCGCTATATTTTTTTAATTATTAAGTAAGCTGTGTAATTTGTTTAAGACAAGCAAAGCAAAATTGACTATTTTTTCCTGGAAAAAGAGGCAAACTAGTTTGGTTTGTATGACAAAAGTGACATTTCTGACAAAGTTATGAGAAAATTAGAAGCTGAAGGAAAAATTTCTAAAGCATAAATTAAATATCGGAACAGATTAAGTTGACTCGCATTAAACTGGTAGGAAAAGGTCTGCAATAACGTGCTGTAATAGAAGAAATATATAAATGTTTTTGAATTATAGAAGGAAACCATTTGAATTAATTAAAAATGATTTAGAGTGTGGTATAAGCATAACTGCCTAGACTGCTCAAGGCAGACTTAAAATTCTGGGGTTAAAGGCAAGAATTGTAGAGAAAAATCTGTCTTACAAATTAAAAAATATGTATAATGTACTAAAAGATTTTCATTTGGCCAAAAGAACGTGCACTTTCTTATCTGGTGTGACAAAATCAGAATTTCTATATTTGTTATGGATGGATTGAGGTTAAGTTAATTGAATATGGTGAAGGCCTAAGGTGAGGGATGCTTTTGCGAAGAATGCACATCAGAAATGTATTAGATCCAAATAAGCGAAGTCAGCTTGTGAACTTTCTCGTGAAGCCTTCCTAGTCTCTCGTGAGGACTGTTAGCTTTCTCATGTTTCTATACAGTTAAAAAAACAGGTTTCAGGAAAGCTATGTTATGTTGCCAAAATAGCCAAGTTAAAGCCCTAATCTGTTTCAAAAAGTATAAAAGCTGATTAAAAAAAGTGTATTAATAGCATAGCATAAAGGGCAACTAAAAGAAACATTTTGTGTAATCTTGTGTCTTAAAATAATGATTGATAAACTAAAATCATTGATTCACCGTATGGGATATCATTTTCATTGCTTCTCAAACAAAATATTCATGGAAATTATAAGCAACTATAAAAAATATGTTCTCTCGATTCAACTCTTTCATTCCTTAGGGCATCATTCATTGTTTTTACAAAAAAATTATTTTATAAAAAGCATTATATTTTTAATTTAACTGCTTTGGGGTTGTAGCATGTTTTTTAGTGTACCATAATATATTATTATTGTAAACTGTTTAAAAACGCATATTTTAAGGTTTTCACAATTCTGACTAAAAGTTTAGTGGATTTTTCACAACTCATTTCAGAATTTGTTTCTGTTACTAGCTATAAATCGCTTTCTCATGAAATTTGAGTAACTTTTTGAAGTTTTCCTTGAATAAATCGATATTTTTGAAGCAAAGCACATTTATTCAGTTTATGATAGTTTTAACACTTACTTCCTGTTTTTATCTTAGATCGCTCAATACATAAGTATTATTGAAATTTATTTAGCTTTTTATATGCTAAATTTATAGCATCAGATAACCTTTGATTATAATTTAGTATATTAGTTAGCATACAAAGTAAAATTCTTAGAATTTAGAGTTTAACTTTATGTACAACAAGACATTTTTATGTATATTTTAATAGTTCTCAAGATGCACCGTCTTTGAAAAAAAGCAGTAAACCTTTATTTGATAGTCATAGTTTGAATAGACAAGTAAGAATGTATATTACCAACATACACATTTTTGACATTATGTTAATCATTCTTAAATGAAGACATTTAAATTTTTTATTTTAAGTTGATGGCATATTTTTGAGATGTCATTGAGAAATAATTATAACTCAATATACTACCAGCAGTGGAGACTTCAACAACACAAAAAAAAAAAAAAAAAAAAAAAAAAAAAAAGGAAAGAAAGAAAGAAAGAAATGGAATGCCAAAATACGTGTATATAATTTTCTATAAATATTTTATTATACAATGTTATTAGAGGATTATCGATTTATCTTCAGTATTTGAATCTTAGTATCAAGTTTGGATTTTTCTGAGCTATCATTATTTTTGTACAAAACAACCTTCAAACAGGGTTTGTACGATTCTTAAAAGTTCTGAGGTTTTGGAAATGACGTTTGGTTCTTAAAAGTCTTTAATTTTAAACAAAACTTGCAAATGGACTGCTGTTTTTCTGTGACTTCCATTTTGAATGGCTGAATATGGAAAATAAATGCAACCCAGTGCACAGTAAATACTTTCTTATTAAGAGCTTCGAAAATAATGTTAGAGGACAAGCCTCGTAACAGAACCTTCACAAGCTTTTTATGTGTGTGATTAATAGTATAATGTTCTATGCCATTAACCAGGAAATATTGACTAAATGCTGTCAAAGTTTTTTTTTTTTTTTTTCATTTGCTTTGTGCAACAGTGTGCTTTGATGTATACTTAAGTAACTTTTAGCAGTAATCTTATATCATCAGCTTCTCAATATCTGTTAAATTTTAAATGCGCAGGACAATGTCCTTATATTTATTTAATTCTTACGTAAATTCTTATCATCAGCAATGATTCAAACCGTACAATATTTCATAATAATCAATCGGTTTCGATGGAGGTTGGACCTCGAGTCCAAGTCCTCCGCTGCTAATACCCCTACTTTTTTAAGACTTTGCGTTGGAGGGAGGAATTTTCTGAAACTTGACCTTATAGT